TTACTTTCAAAACTACGCCAATTGCACAGTTCGTCCTCATCGAATGGAAGAAATTTGGGTCGGGCAAGGGACGCGCGCGGCCGCGACGCGGCTAGAGGAAGTACGTAGTGACGATGCAGCTGACAGAGTTTCTGAAACATAGGAAAAGAATTCAAAGAGCAAATGCTGAACAATTATTCTCCGTTCGAGCCTTTCTGTCAGACAAAATCATATCAGGAGGAGAACTTTCAGCAAGAAAAAAAAATCGTTTTAAGGACCTAGTGCGAAAATGGCACTGGAAAGCATATTAATGCACGGAACTCTCAAACACTATTCAGAGACCCTCAAACAGCTGCAATTTATTGCAGCACTGAATTTTGCATGTATTGGTTGACACACTGCAGGGCCGTGACGCGACCGCGCACTTCCCAGGTGTTCCAATCCACAAATGTTTTCAAACAATGAGACGCACAAGCAGCGCTGACTGGAAATAAGGCACAGCAACAAAATTGATTGATGACAACGCTCGATAACAAAACGATTGATTGATGACAACGCTCGATAACAAAACGATTGATTGATGACAACGCTCGATAACGAAACAAGATTTGGCAGATCACTGTTGTAACATGATATTGTCTTCAAAGCTGAATTCACCAGGGAACGGAAATCTGTTATTTGCTGATGAACTTAAATTTGCCGCTTTCAATCAGCATGTAGTGGAGCTCATCAGGCATCATGTCATAGATCACCGCCAGATCTTCCAATGCTCTCGTACCATCACATAGACGAAATATCCTCAAAATCAGCACAAATGTATTCATATTAGCCTGGCTCATCAGTTCTCTTCTGGACACCTGCTAGATGCAGCTAGGTCTCCAAGCTATACCAGAGAGGCATACTAAACCTGTGACACGCGATTTTTTGGGTTTTCGATCTATGGTGACTGCTGTTAAAGACAATTCCCGCGATCAAGTGTTACGGGTAGTAGGTGCTCAGTCATGAACCAGTAGCCCATAAGTAACTCCCCAGTGGGGAAAGAAGCGAAACAAACATCTTGGGAACACTCTGAATCCCTCCTCCTTTAGCAGTGGGGCAGCGCCTTGTACATGTTTGCCGAACGTCGGCAACCCCATTCAGCAGGATTTGAGTGCAACCATTACTTGGCAAGAGCACAGAAAATCACCCTACGACGCTCCAGGCAACGCTATGTACACACGCATTCCGCTTGTAAGCCGTTGTCTTGCAGAGTGAAAGTAATCGTGGTTGCAATGGTTGCAATAATCACGCGTCTCTAGCTTCTTTATCTCGCCGTTTCGAGTGACGAAAGTGGTATATTCTCTGCGAATGCGGACAACGATGCCAAATGCACGGAGGCATTTCGCGGACCACTTGATCACGGGAACTACCTTTAACGCCGTAATTCGCGCTACGAAAGCTACCACAAAAATACTGAGTTATGGGCAAAAGTCCTGACCAACGGCGGGACTGGAACCAGCATCTTACCCTTTCCAGATGGCCCATAACTCAGTACCACTGTGATAGTAAATTGGTCAAAACGCTACGAAACAGCGAGTCTTCTATGACGGTCGCAAGCTGTAAGAGATGCAAGAAACGGAAGCTATGATATTCTGACCC